TGACTTGGAAAAGCAAGAAACAAAGTGTGGTAGCAAGGTCAAGTGTTGAAGTTAAATATAGAGCTATGGCACATGGGGTGGCTGAAGTCCTTTGGCTAAAAAATCTTCTAGGGGAGCTTGGAGTTGTTGTTCATAATCCTATGTCTCTTTACTGTGACAACAAGGCAGCCATAAACATCGCCAGCAACCCCGTCCTACATGAGAGGACCAAGCACATTGAGGTGGACAAACACTTCATAAGGGAAAAATTAGAAAAAAGGAAAATTTGCATCCCTTATGTCAACTCCAAAGAACAACTTGCTGATGTCCTCACAAAAGGGATTCCATGCTCGCGGCACAATGAGTTATGTGACAAGCTGGGCATGATAGACATATTAAGCCCAACTTGAGGGGGAGTGTTGTGAGGATTATTTAATTGTTATTTTTATAGTTGTTGTTAGTGGGTTGTCAGCTTAAGATGTTGTCAGTTAGTTATTTTCTTTCTTTCTTATTAGTTTGTTTCTAGGGAGTGCCGCCAGAGGCATACTTGTAATCTCCATTCTTTTTACATATTTTTTTTAATAATTAAAGGCACGTTTTTATTTTATTTATTAATTTATTTTGTTAATCACCCATACATTTTTCCCGCTGGTCGCGGCTCCATTCTTTTTATATTAAGTTAATATAAATAATGAACTGGCGGCAGCCAAAAGTGGGTTTTCTTTTTCTCTCAATCATATCTTCCTCTTCTTCTCTTTCTCTCTCTCGCCTCTCTCTCTCCATGAATGATTACAGATCATTGTTTTCATCTCTCATCCATCCCACTCCTTCCTATGCCCCCTACCACTTCTGCTAGATTTAATATTCATGTCGTAAGACCCTTCATCAGTGCTCACAATCATACATTTCTGGACTAAAACTTTGATGATTGTTTTAAATGGTAGATCAATCAGAGTCATGTTTTGCTGACAAGAGAAAATTCGGCCTACATAATTTTCAGGAAAAGAAATTAAATAAATAAAAGTTATCTTTGTCAAAATAAGATCCTATAGGCAGTGCTTTAGCACTTAAACACAAGCATTTCCAAATATTCTCCTTAAAACCACAGAATTCATGTAAGAAAATATCAAGATGTTTTTATAGAGTAGACAAGCAAAACAGACACAAGTACTCACTATTTCTGATTTAATGACTACAACTCGGCCAGGTAAAAGAAATTGCTGTGCAGACTGCATGACAGTATCCAGTACACGATCTCTGTGCTTATCAGCTTCTGTCAGCATCTCATAGTATTCCTCAATTGCTGGTTCACCCTTTATACAACTGCATGAGAACAACCATGTTCAAAAATGTATTACAGAAGTAAAAAGTGGTGGCCATAGAAAAATAGCTCCCATCAACTCAACTTTAAGCCAACAAAATTTGCCATGCTTGAAACAAGATGAACTTGAAATTATAAGGAGATGAAAAAAATGAGCTATAAATTAAATAACAGTACATTGTTTTCTTAAGTTATGATTGTTAAGCTAAACTCTAATATCATTCAATGTTGTCAATGTGGTGAGACAATTACTAGTTGTTTTAGCCTCCCCAGGTGACTAGTCAGTCACAAAAAAGATGTCTAAATTTAATCTAATATTACAAGTTCATATTTCATACATAAGTTAATAAAGATGTGGAGATGATATGATCGACCAGCCTTATTCTCTTCCTTAGTGAGCCTGTTTTATTCTTACTCAGTTGCTCATTTCTTTTTTCTTGGTGGGCTTTTATTCTTTTAGGGTCATTTACTTAGACACCCCCTATAGTTTCACATATTCATTAAAATATACCCTCTATAGTTTGAGTATTACTAAAACACCCCTATAGTTTGTAAAAAAATGCAAACTAGAGGATAGGTTTTAGTAAATATGTAAACCCTAAACCAGGTCGGCCCCACAAAACTGCTAAGAACAGGATCTCACAAATACCGCAAGATCTTGCTGCTGCGATATCAAGCTATTGCAAGTAGAGACAACTTGCAATTCCACCTGATCTACGATGTGATATCCAAGTGATCTACAATTCCGGATACTTGTGATATCCACCTGTCTGCAATACCTGATACTTGCGATATCCACTTGTCGACAATTACGATATCTAAGTGCAACTAACTCAATTATGATTCCCTTAACACTATGAGTCCATACCACAGGCTCCACTTCTACAATAGACCACTATGATATTTCGCCTTCAGATCTTTCTCAACTTTGTTCGAGTCAGGTCATGGAGTGGATCGCAACTAGAATTCAAGGCACCAACACAACAAGATGGCATGTAAAGGCCCAGAAAAGCACCCCATTTGGTACCAAGATCCTTTACGCTCCACCCTTAACCGCTTGCGCTAAGCTAACATAATTAAGACACTTTTTTATAGATAACTAGGACACCTTTCTGACAAAAGAGTGAAGTTGTTGTTATCATTATCCTGGTTGAATGCCTTCCCACCCTTTTATAGGCATCCATCAAAAAATCGTGCCTTAGCTCCCCATCTCCCTAGTTCTCCTTAACTCTCTCTGGTAGTTGTTCTCAAGAGAGACTCTCTATCCTCTTCCTTGAGAAACCCTAGTTTTCCGTTTTGCAACTCCCCTTGCAGTGCTCAATAATCCACTTCCTATCCTCGTCTTCGGTTGCAAAGGTACATGAATCGACAACCCCCGTTAATTGGATACATCCAAGCTCTCCACATTGGTGTCTCTTAGTCCAACATTCAATACTCTACAGACCACTGACATCCCACTACCTAACATCATAGTTAGGGAAGCCAAAGCAATTGGAAGAAGCCTAAGCTACTTATTCAGGGGAATTCCTAGATTGACTAACACAATAGCTAATAGCTTAACTATAGAAAGTGTAACCAAACAAGGTTGTAAATGAGGCATGATAGGACCTTGGGTTGATTTTTAATGTAGTTTTTCTTCTTTTTTGTGTTGTAATGGTCAGCTCAAGGTCGATTTCTGTATGGTCCCTGTTGTCAAGTCTGAACAATCAGGGCTATTTCCTTTTATGGCAATTAATACAATATATCTTTGTTAATTATCACCTTGAGGGGGAGCAAACCAATGTTCAAAAATTAAGGCATCCTACTGGAGGTCTTTCATGACAAAATTAACTCTGATGAAAAACCTTCAAAAGATGATACCTTACTAGTGTTTATCCCCACACATACGTCTCCTTTGTTTTGCAAGTGGAAAAACTACTTACCATTTACTACTTTGCTGCACATTTGTTTCTAGTATTTGGGAATGGTTTTTTGTCTCTTTTATTGCAAACAAAATTCTCCAGCAACTAGGCCCAGTTCTTTCAATCCAAAAATGTTCACTATGTCAAGAAGGAGAGAAAAGATAATGTGGCAGTGCATAAAGGATGCAGTTCTTTGAACAATATGGGTGGAAATAAGTGCAAGGATTTTTTTTTTCTTTTGAATGGTAAAACAATTTTTAGTGGGAAGAGAAGTACAAAACAAGCAATCATTTGAAGCATCATAGTGAAAGTGTTTCATTAGGTAAGAACCATGGATTTTTGCTCCATACTCTATGGACAGAATCCTTAGAGGTTGGCAGCCAGTGGCTGCATCATTAACTACAAGGAAAGTGACTCAATCACATTAGGACCAGCTTAGTAATGCCAATACAAAACAGAGCTTTGACGGATGCAGCATTGGGAATCCGCGACATCCAAGAAAAGGGGTCTTTAGAATCAAGCATGACACTTTTTTAGCAACTAGTAAGTCAGCACGTGCTTTGCATGTGACACTTTTTTATGATGATGATAATAGTAAATAATATGTTTCCAAAATTTTGTACAATTATTTTATATTTCTGTCTATAAAAATTATGCTTATTTTTCACACATGTTTTTGTTTAATATGATGAATATACAATATTCAAGATGTGCCCAAATGTTTTCTACCATTTTTTTTGTAATTTTAATACTTGTGTGCTTTCATCTTTTTATTAACTTTTATTATTTAATTGTGATATCAAGGGTTGACACATTAACCCAAAAGGTTAAATTGTTAACTCGCCACCAAATTTGGGTTGGTTCTAAACTTGTATTCTATTTCCATGATCAAGAAAAAGTTAAAAACAATTCATGTTTATCGTGTCTAATTTTTCATATGATTAATATAAAATATTACATATCTGTCCAAATGTTTTCTACAAAGTTTCAATATTTTTCATATTTTTTGTATTTTTATATTTTTTGAATTTTTATTATTTAATTATGAGATCAAGGGTTGACAAATATAACCCAAAAGGTTGAATTGTTGACCCACCACCAAGAAAACAATTTCATTTTTGGATCGGATTTAAAATTTATATTTTATTTCCAACATCAATAAAAACAACTATTATTTATCACACTTTGTTTTATTTGATATGATTAATATAAAATATTTTTTGATACTTTATTATTAATATAAAATATTAGATAAGTGCCTAAATGTTTTTAAAATTTCTATATTATTACATAATGTTTTTGTGTTTTTATCTTTTTTAATTTTTATTTAATTATGATATCAAGGCTTGACACATTTGACTCAAAAGGTTGAATTGTTGACCTGCCAACATCAATAAGAATTATTATTATTTATCACACTTGTTTTTCTTTAATATGATCAATATAAAACATTAGATGTGTGCCCAATTTTTCTATATTTTTTATTTTTTTGTATTTATTTCTATTTTTTATTCCATTATGACATCATGGATTGTCCATTTGACCTAGATGGTTGAAATGCTTATTGCCACAAAGATGGAACAAAAGTTCCACTTTTAGGTCAATTTTAAAAAGCATGCATTTTATGCTGTTGAAACTATTGGATATAGATTTAATTAATAAAATTTATTGGTGAAAAAAAATAACTTAAAACTTAGGATTCGATGAGTAAATGGGAGTTAATGACCTAAATATAAGATTTAATGAGAGGGAATTTAATGAGGAGAAATGTAGTAGTTCGAATTACATTTTGTGCCCTCACAATTAGAGAAGGACCAAATTCAAAAATAGGGGTATTCTTTTTTTTTTTTTTTGATAAATGAAAATAGGGGTATTCTAGTCAAGAGTATGATTCAATGAATGATAACGAGAGTTAATAATATAAGATTTAATGAGAGGGATTTGAGTGAGGAGAAAGCGGTTGCTCAAAGTACACTTCTGTCCTTACGATTAAAGAGGGACCAAATTAAAAAATTGGGGTGCTTTAGTCAAACAAAAGTTCCACACTCTCATTCACACTTTTAATAGTAGTATATATTTAGGACTGCCTAGTTATGGAAGCTCCCTAAGGGTCATTAGTAGTCCAACAAGGCTTCAGAATGGGCAGGTCACTAAACTTCAAAAAAGTCACGATAGTTTAATAGAAGGGGACTCCAAAGTTGTGGTGAGTAGGATGGAAAACAAAAGCCAAGCACCATGGCAATACAGACATGCTAAAGGGAAATAAGACACTTCAATTTAAGTAATCCTCCCACTAAAAAAATGTAGTTTCTCTACCACGTAGCCAAGTTTTTAATAAGCCTTTCCAGAACAGGCTTCCATAAGTCAACAACCCTAGAGTTACTCCCCAAAGGGAGTCCTAAGTAGGCCATAGGCCACGATTTAGTATCACACCATAAAATGTCCAATATAGAAGAGTTAACTTTTCACTCCTCCATGTTTATCACTAAAATACAACTCGTGCTTATATTATTTCAAACTAGACATCCTTTCAAAACTTTGGAGCATTCCTAGAAGGTTACCAATTTACCCTCCATTTTCCCTTCACAAAATAAGATAACGTCATCTGCAAATTGAAGGTGGGTGACTATTACGTCTTGCCTTCCCACTCTCCAACCTTTGATCAAATTGTTTCTGTCTGCTATGGTAATTAGTCTACTTAGCACATCTGCTACCAGGGTGAATAAAAAGGGGGAGAGTGGATCCCCTTGCCTCAAACCTCTCTTAGCTTGGAAGAATCTCTAGCTACCCCACCATTGATGGGCATATATGTCTTTTCACTTATTAATATGGGCATTTATGTATCCTTCTTTGATTGGAAATTGATAATTTTTATTAGTTCAGAAAATTGATAGGCAACTCTCAACTAGAGTCGATCCCCACAAACATCCTATGAGTACAAATTGGCCCAAAAGAATTGTTTCCTGGACACCCCTTGCTTCACTAAACAGTCTGCCAATGCATTGGCTAACCTCTCTTGCTAGCTTCATTTTTTCTTCTTTTTTTTTTTGATAGATATTCATTTTTCCTTCTTTGATAAGTCACAAGAAATTTTTATTAAAAGAGGAAAAAAAACTGAATACAACCTAAAGGCAGGTGTTAAGATAACACCCCCCAAACCCAATGATGACTTCAACTACCTAAAGGAAGGTGTTAGCTTCGTAATTTCCGTCATTTCCCAGCATTCATGTATTTTTGCCTTTTTGTTATATTGAAATAAATTTGTGGAATGGGATCAATAAGTTCTCTTTCTCTCCCCCAAAACCTTTGGGTATCTCTATTCCTCCTAACCACATAACTGAAATTTCTTACCTAAAGAACAATTTGAACATTCAACAAAGGGTAAAGTAAACTTTGCAGAGAAATCAAGGTCTCCTCTACATACTCAATGGTTTTTGTAGGCTGAGCAAGCTTCACCATAAGAAGTCGTTGCTTTTCTGGAAGTTTCTTTTGAGCATGGAATTCAGCAAAGCTTCTCTTCAACATGTCTTCCACCTGCAAAGATGATCCCTCATCAAAAATTTATTTCAATCAGTCCAATAATTGGATTAGAAAAAACTCATATGCCCACATAATTATTAGCCATTGAAGTAGAAAACTGCAAGAAATCAATACATAATAAATGATCTAGAGTAATATGGAGACTAGGGGTGCATATCGGGTTGGCCAATTTGAAGAATTTCAACTACATCAGACTCAGGTTAGTGCTTGGACCAATTCAAAATTTAACAAATGCTCAACACAAGAAAACCCAAGTTGCCCACTTCCTGTCCACCTTTAGCTAGGAGAGGAAAATGAGGAATTTCTTATGGAAGCTAGGAGAGGAAAAAAAGGACAGTTTAATAAAATGGGAACAGGTTTGTAGACCCAAGGAGCAAGGCAGGTTAGGGGTTGGGAATTTAGCAAAGAGAAATACAATTCTACTAGGAAAATGGTTGTGGAGGTTTCCCCATGAAGAAACAATGGCTAGGACGCAAAAGTAGCAGCTAATGCAGCTTCAAATTCTCCTAGAAAGCAATCTCTGAAATCTCGCCTTTATTTACTAACTCCATCTGTCTTGATGTTGGGTGTGAGAATAAGATTTTATTCTGGGAAGACCTTTGGCTTGGGAACCAACCACTTTGCTTGCAATTCCCTAACCTTTACTCTCTGTCAAACCTAAAGGCTGAAAACTATAGCTAGGGTTGCTGCACCCTCAGAAACTGGGATCAGTTGGGATTTCAGGTTCAAAAGAGGCTTGAGAAACAATGAGTGTGATTCTCTCCTTGTCCTTTTGTCAAAACTGGAAATGGTTAACCTGGATCAAAATAGCCTTGATAATAGAATTTGGCATCCAGCTTCTGATGGCTTGTTTTCATGTGCTTTTTTCTTTAATGTGCTTACCCAATCGGACTTTGTGGGGATGAATTTCCCTATGAGAGAAATATGGTGCAAACCAATTCCTCCTGAAGTACAAGTTCTTTGCTGGGAAATGTTCCTAGAGAAGGTATACACCTGTGATGTGCTACAAGAAAGAAGGCCAAATAGGAGTTGAACCTAAGAAAAGTGGTTTTTGAAGGTGACTCAGAGGTGGTGGTGAGATAGCTAAAGGAAGATAACTCTGGTATCTGGAACTATAGCAATGAAAAGAAAAAATTTAAGTGGCTGACTAGGGACATTGAGGTGAAATACAGTTGCGTAAAGAGAACTGCTAACTCACTTGCTGATGGGTTAGCCAAGCAAGGGATGAATAGGGGATCTTTCTTTTGGGCTCATTTCTAATTTTGTATCCTTTGTTTTGCTAAAATGGGGGAGTTAAGAAAGTTTATCTCCCCCTCTCTTGTAATTAAAGTTTCTTATTCTTAATAAATTTTGCCGTTAATGATCAAAAATAAAAAAGAAATAAGGCCAAATACTTGCCTTTCTCCTCATGTATGTGTTCTTTGCAAGGCTTGTGGTGAAACCCTTTCTCACTTACTTTTCTTCTGCTCATTTGTTTATTGTATTTGGGACTATTTCTGTTCTCTCTTTGGTTGCAAATGGGTTCCCCCACAAGACATAGTGAGCCTTTTCAACTAAAATTTCCTAAGGCCACAGAAAAAAAGGGGAAGATGTATCATGTATGTGAAGGTAGTATGTGCAGCCTTGGTTTGGTCTATTTGGGAGGAAACAAATCGAAGGATCTTCAATGAGAAAAGTAAATCCTTAGAGGAGGTGATTGAAGCCATTAAAATCAGATCAGTATATTGGGTTAAAACCTTAGAACTCTTCAAGAGTATTCCTACTGATGACCTCTTAAGAAATTGGAGAAAAGTGGCACTCTCAGAATCACATAGAGAAAATATAAGAATGGAGTGGAAACCACCAGGTTTAAATAAACTAAAGCTGGAATTTGATGGTAATTCATTTGGTAATCCAGGAAGAGCAGGAATAGGGGGAGTTTGTCGAAACCAGTGTTTTAAAAGCGCAAGGGCCAATTTGCGCCTTTTTAAGCAAGGCGCAAAATTACAAAAAAAAAAAGTCAGAAAATTCAAAAAAATGCCAAAATTTAAAAAAAAATCAAAAAAAATATTAAACATAATGTTAATAAAAAATATAAACTTAAATTTTAAAATAAATGTTTTAAAAAACCTATTATCTAAAAATAAATACATAAACATATCGTGTAAAGTGTATTCAAATGAAAATTTAAAAATAAAAGCAAACATATAAAGCATTTTCAAGCATGTAAAACCCACAATCTCTTTTTTTCCTTAATTGCATTGCTTCAAGTAGCTAATGTGATGTAAAACATATTGCATTCTTGATTCTATAAGTTGCCTTTGTACCACCCCCCTCAAGGTAAGCCCGAACAAATCTATGTTAGAGTCTGAAATTCTTATTTCTCACATAAAAAATAATGATTTTATAACTTTCATTGCCTTTTAAGAATATACTTTATTGCAATGAATGAATGAACAACATTAGCAAATAGGGGGTTCTCGAAGGAGGGAGGTCTAGGTATAGGGAATATAAGGAAGAGGAATTTAGCCTTATTAGGGATATGGTTGTGGAGATTCTCTTTGGAAAAAGAAAAGTTGTGGGTTAAGATAGTGGATAGTATTCATGAACTTACAGAGAATGGATGGGACTCTGGTATTCTGGCAAGGACTACAAGGGCATCTCCTTGGAAAGCAATCCAAGCTATTCTGCCTCTTTTTCTCCCCTGGATCAGGTATATGACTTGCACTCTAGCCAGCTTATTAAATTTTAAAAACAAGTTTGGGTTGGGGATTCCCCTTTAAAGGAACAGTTCCCAACTTTATTTGTCATCTCTACTTTCAAGGATGAACCAGTTTATACTTTCCTTGTACCTTCTGAGTCCTCTTTGAGGTTTGGTTGGAATTTGGGACTAAGAAGAGAAATCAGAGACACATAATTGGATAGTACCTTACCACTCCTTTCCATCCTTGAAGGAGTGTTCCTGGAACCAACAAAGGTAGACAACAGAATTTGGACTCGCTCTCCTTTTGGCACCTTCTCTTGTGCCTCCTTTTTTCAAGCCTTAACACAACACCAGCTGCTCCTTTTGGTCTATCCTTTCTTGTTAGGGAGGTGTTGTCTCAACCTATTCCTCTGAATGTGGGAAGCTTCTGTTGGGAAGCCTTCTTGGAAAGAGTTAACACAGGAGATCTTCTTCAAAGAAAAAGGCCCAATAGATGTTTCTCTCCTCATCGGTGTGTCCTCTGCAAAGCCGCTGGTGAGTCTGGGTTTCACTTACTAATTTCTTGTCAATTTGCTAACTTTATTTAGGAATGGTTAACTTCTTTATTTGGGTGTAGGTGGAATTCTCCCACAGATGTGCAAAGCTTGTTTACTTCCTCTCCTTCTAGCTGGCCAACTAAAAGAGCAAAGATTATGTGGAGATGTGTTAGGGTCGCAATGTGTTGGTCTATTTGGGAAGAAAGAAACTTGAGAATCTTCTCAGAAAAGGAAAGAAGTGCGGAAGCAATGATAGAAGTGATTCATGCAAGGAAATTGCAGATTCAGCCCCAGCCATGAGGGTCTCAAGTTCTATTTGGACCCCTCCACCTATTGGCTTTACCAAGCTGAACTTTGACGGCAGCAATATAGGCAATCCTGGGCCCTCCGGAATAGGGGGAGTCTTGAGGGTTGAAAGAAGGATTGTGATGGCTATGTTTTCTGGCCCAATTGGAATAGGGGACTCATTGAGGACTGAGATTTTAGCAGCTCTGGAAGGGATTCAAAGGGCTAAGGACTTGAACATAAACAAGCTAATCTTAGAAGGAGACTTTGAAACTGTAGTGAATTGGTTAAAAGGAGAAAACTCAACACTATGGAGCCACAGCAATGAAAAGAGGCAATTCAAGTGGCTGGTGCGGGAGATGGAAGTTAAGACACGTTGGGTTAAAAGATCGGCTAATTCCCTAGCTGACGGTTTAGCTAAACAAGGGGCAGAAAGGGATTCACT